TGGTAATGGAACGTGGAACTGTCATGTGTTCTGCTATTTTGAACAAAACTAGGGTATGAGAGACTCGAAATAGTTACTCTTTTGACTCTGTGTGTTCTGTATCACAGAAGTTTGAGTTTCTCATTTAATACTGGAGAAAATCCTGTCACCATCTGCCCTGCGTTCATGCTTTCCCCCAGCCACCCACGATTTGCTACTCTCAGAGATAAGAGGCTGCGCTGGATAGTTCTGACAATGACTACTGTTATGTTTTTTATGCTTTTCTGAAATTTTTGTAGATCATAACTACATCACATTGCCACAGTCACCCTTAAATTATACTCTTGGTTGATCTCAGCAGAAAGGCCAAAGTCTGATATTCTTCCCATCATAAGCAATGCAATTTGGCTTGTTACCTTCAAGGACAGCTGCATTAGGTTTTGATATAGAAGAGAGTAGAATGAAAAACCAGAAGTGTTTTCTCCTTTTCCAAGTTTATCTTCTAGATCAGAGACAGGTTTTTCAGAGTACAATAATCTCCATCTGTTTTCTGCTACCCAAGAGAAGAGAATACTGGTGCTAGTCATATGAGCAACAGCTCCTCATGTACCAGCATCATTCCTGAGAGGCTGGCAAAGGGATAGCACTTAATTTCTGTGTCAGCTGCTACCATAAAACATGGCCAGCCAAAAAAACCTGCACGAACTTATATATACTTTGTGTAAGAAGAAAATATCATCGACCAAACTTTACCCTTGGGTCTATACAAAGGAACTATATTACTATCAGTAAGATGTATATTTATGGACCCAAGAACAATATAAAGCTGCCAGACAGCATCTTATAGTAGAGCTGTGACTATTTAAATTGTTATTCTGAAAATAATTTTAGATCAACAAATGTAAAACTGTATAATGAGTGAAGTAACTCCTACTTTCCAGCCAGAACAATTCCAGACTAAGATGCTTCCTGAAGAATAAGCTAGTTCTGCAGTCAGTTAATCTGTGACATGATGTTGAAATATCAATCCAGACTCTTTTGGACAGCACACATAAGAAATGCAATAGGTTATTTACTTGGTATTCAATATTCTTGTGTTATGGAGGTAATTTTGTATTTCTTTCCAATTAGACAGCAAAGGTTCACACAAAGTCCAATCTATGTTTAAATTATATTAGCTACATGTTCACAGGCCTTTTTTGCTGTTTATGATGTTACCTGCAGGTATCAAAGACCCAGGCTCTGGCATTCATCCTGAGTCTGCACACAAGAGGCTAGTTTCTGAACTCAGTACGGTGCAAATCCAAAGGCTATTACGTGTGTCAGAACTAAAACTTTCCCTTAATAAGGAATCAACAGCCTTTGTTCACCAGGCTTTGCCAAAATCCCTTCATCTGGCACTTGAAATGATAATTTGGCAGAAAATAGCATAACCCCAGTGGTATACACAAAATATCAGCTGGGGCTTAGGGCAAATCTGGGTCCTAATGAAGTTAATGGCAGAAGTCCCACTGATGGCAGTGAGAGCTGACACAGATTGTGACAGCTGCGAGTAAGCCAGAGCAGACTGGTAACAGCCTTCAGCTCATTGTGTGCACTTGGAAACACACAGAGGCTTTCATAAGTCCTTTTGTCCACTCCAGCAACTCAAGGATTTTAGATTACCCCAAGGCTATTGCTGGGAAGTAAAGCTACAACTGATTTAAATTCTCTGCTGTATAACAAAAATAAAAATGAGATGTTGCTTCAAGATTGCCTTAGATTAATATTTCACTGACTTTATAGACTACTAAAATTCTAAAAATTACTGGCATGGCCAAAATCTGCTCAATTTAAAATGTTTTGCAATGTAGTTTAAAATTAAAGAAAACATTATTTTTCAGTTAAATAGAAATTTTAAATTAAAAATCAATAATATAAAAAAATATATATTTGTAACAGGTTATCACCTTTGACATGAGAAAACTGGGATAATGCATATAAAAGCTGTTAAAACTTCCCAAAGAAGTTTTTTGGTTTTCAAAAATACTGGCTTATTTTTTGTAGATTTGATTTCGGGATAGCATGAGGCTGGCAAAATGGGTTAGAAGCTGCTTCTGGACTCATCCTCAAAACAAGTAGCTTGTGGTGATCCAAAAACATCTCAAGATGAAATACTTTTAGTAACCCCAGCTGATGAAATTGCTCCTGCTGTCGGGCAGCTACTGTACCCTAAACTGAGGATACATGTCTCCTGAGATAAAACAGATATTGAAAAAGGACTTGCACATCAGGGCAGTCCCTCTACTGCAGTTGCATGAAGTATAATTGAGAATTTCCTCCTTGCCCTTTGTTTTTTCTGCTAGAGTCCCACCACTCTGTAGTATTACTTAATTAGGCCTACAAAAAATGAATTTTACGTTCTTTTCCATATCATAGGTGTTTATTCAGTGGAAAGAATAAGGTCAGAGTCTTCTATTTTAGTTTGAAGAAGGTAGCACCAAGCCATCCTGTTTTATCTTGATTTAATTAGGATTCTAGGAGGAAAGCTGTCACACAGGTTCTGTTTCTGTTACTTTTTTTTGGTTGCTACATGGGGGCCATTGTAGTGACTGTTCTGGATGTGCCTCCGGCAGTTTTGGCATCTGAGATCATTTTTTGACACTCTGAGAACTACTGATGGGTTTTGGTGCCCCTGCGGCAGTGCAACCTGTGTCCTTGGCACTGAAAATTGTTGGACCCGCTCCCTGGTACGGTTCATGGGCCCTCTGCTTGGCACACAGCTACCAACAGGTGTGGCCATGCTCTAAGAGGCCATGGCAGCGGCCTGTAATACACTCATTGCTTAAAGGAGCTGTTCTTTCAGAAGAAATGATGCCTGCATTGTCATGAAGGCTGCTGATCATTGCCTGGCACCTCTGTGCCCGAGGCAGGAGTCCAAACAACTTGTGACAAGGCACTCTGCCATCTCAGCAGATGGACGTGAGCATAAGCAGCTTAGGGACTGTGCCTGCATATCAGGCATGGGCATTGAGGGCGTGATTCCTAGCCAAGAATGCTGCAACTGCTGTTTGTCTTCTGCTTACCAAACTAGAGTTGTTTATCTGCTCTTACCACCCCGGGGTTCAGGGAATATGTCATTGCTAATTAAGAGCTGGGCTGGAATCAGTTTCAAAAGCATAAAATACAACTGTACAAAACAAGTGTCTGTCTGGCTTGAATTGAACCACAAGTCCTAAGAGAGGCCAAGGGAGTTCTCAGGATGAAACTGGTACTGGGACAGACCAAAAAGATACCTCAAAATGTTGCCATTCCATCAGATTCAGGAAAAAAAAAAGATTAAGGGAAGTGTGAACAGGGAAATCAATTTTAATATATGGGTGGATTTATATTTTCTTAAGAGAAAAAGTAAAACTTGGCATCATAAGGGTATGCAGTTGGAATGCAAAGAAAAGTAGGGATCAATATGAGAAAAAGTCCTGATTGTAAATTACATGAATTTACAGAATAATCTCAGAAAGGCAAGCTTAGGGGCATTTTTGTTTGGCAGTTGAAACACTGAAAGATAAAACTTCTTCAAAAGCAGAAGACAATAATGCATTCACTGCAAGAAAACCCAGACCCTAAGGGATGTTCTCTGCCAGTTCCATGAGTCAGATAAGATTTCATTACCTGAGGTGCAGTGGTACTATGGGTCCTAGAATGCCTCTTACTAAACTAGCATTTAGTGTTCAGAGACCTTGTCCGTGTACAGAAAAGCCACAAAGCAGAAGAATGGGCAATATATTATTTGAACTATGACATGACATGCTTCTGCTCATTGGAGACAACTGCAATATCAGATTACAGGATCAAGGACGCACTGAAAATGTATTGGAAATTCATTAAAACTGGATTTTGATCTTGCCACGGTTATCAAAGCTGCAGGCCAAATACTCATGAAATATCCTTCTTTAGAACTTTAGTATAAAAACTGATTTGTAATTAAGGTAAGAAAAGAGGTCAAGCATTTGCTTTTCTGATAAAAACCTAAATAGAAATAGATAGAAGGAAAGCAAGTGAATAAAACTGCAAAACTAAAACTGAAAAGGATTCAGTATATGACAGTTCACTGACTACTTGAAATACAGGAAAAGCTGTCCCAAAAAGTAAAACCCTGACAAAAGTATTTCAGAAGCCAGGCACAGCAAATTTCACTGCTGATACAGTCTCATTCAAGTCATTATTCACACACTGTGAGTAACAGGACAGTGCATTTTACATTATTTTATTTCACCTTCTTTTGCTTATACCCATGAAGCAATCTTTATCAGGTGAAGGCTGAAAGTCATTATGCCTGTGTGGAAACTTGACTACAAGAAACTCAAATGTTATTTAAAGCTTAATAAATCAATATATAAAGACTAGTAAGTTTCTATATATTGTATGTTGCTTTTGTCATGCACAGATTCTAAGAAGTTAATATCTTATATCCTCTTCCTCTTATATGGGAGGTCAGGAAAGAGGAAGGACAGTGGGAAAGGAAGGTTTGCTTACAAGGAAGCAATACTGAAGAATAAGCAAGAACAGGATACAGCATATTCCAACACCCTTCTCTAATGATATAACTAAATAAATTATATCACTTCAGATTGTTCTACAGCCCTATGCAGGCAGGTGGATTTGTTTGTCATCACCAAAATATCTTCCCACAGTTCTATCACCTTTTAAGACCAGTGTAGCCCTTACAACTTTCATTATTACACTGGTATCTATATCAGCATTTGAATTTGATTGTATATATTTATGCTTCTTCATTTATAAGAAAATATTTTGGTAGTATCATAAAAATTTTGCAGGGTCATCATATGCTCTTGCATTGTTTAATGTGATAATTTTGGAACATAAAGTAAAATAGAAAAAATCTGCAGTTTGCCTTTGTCTGTTACCATGCATTTTTTCTTACTGTAACTATTTAAAGTCTAAATCAAAGATATTTACTATATATATATATTTAGATATATATATATATATTTAGATATTTAAACTATTTAAAGTTTAAATCAAAGCACAGTGAAGTTAGAATTTCCTTAATGAAAAAAATCTTTTCTTATTTATCACCCAGTTCAAGTCACCAAGTTTTCATTGGAATATCCTGCTGGCCTAGAGTTACACATGCATGTCAGCTTAACCATTCAACTTATTTCTCAGATTGCTCAGACAGCTTTGCTGTCAAGCCACAGCCCCTCATCGCCACTCCAAAAGAGTAAATTAAACAAATATCCTTTTCTTACTTGTAAAATGAAGGTCAGCTACCAGCTGAAGATGACATGTTAGTCTTGTCATCACTGCTAGCTGGAAGAATATCTAATTTAGAGAGGGCTGGCTTGCAAAAAAATGTAGGAAAGAAAGGATTGCTTTCCATCACAAAACACAAATACCAAGTGGCTTTTGTAAGGCTGGAGGATGACCACTGGGCAGTTTTAGGAAAAACAAAAATCTGAAGAAAATAACCAGCAACCAGCACTAGATAGGACCCCAACAATGAAAATGTCTGCTGCTAAATTATGCTGCTTTTTTCTCTTCCACCCTCATCTTTTTTCTCCTTTTCCATGGTATCAAAGCCAAGGCTAACAAGGAGAGTAAGCACTTGAAAGTCAGGCATTCCGTAGTCAAACTTGCACTTTCAGCATCCACCTCTCTGAAAGGTCTCCAGATACCTGCTCAAGGCACCACTGCTCCACAAGGGAGGATTAAAAGGGCATCCAAAGAGACATTAATCTGTGGCACTAAAGATAAACACTGGTATTATTGTTGGTCTAAAGATAATTCTGGCCTTCTTCCTGTCTCCAGCTTCTTGATTTCTGTGTTGACTCTTTCACAAACTTTTTCACCCTCTTCCCTTCTGAGGATTGCTCTAGCTATTCACCTCATCTTCCATTTCACTGATGATCCTCTAGCATAAGCATCCAGATTGTTTCTATCCTGCACAAAAATTCGTGATTGGTCAAGCTCCAGCAGAAGGGGACTCATAAGGGACTCCAATTGTCAAGAGATCAAGAGAGCTCAGCTCTTGCCAAACTTGCTCTAAAGAGGATTTGTTTGGCCTCCCATCACTACCCTTAGGCCTTGTTTCCCCATTCACAAGGACCTTCACTGTGAAATGGCCTTTTTCTCATAGTCAGGGTTCACTGCTGCCTTACCCCACCAGATAAGAAAAGATCTGGCAGAGGTGGTGGAACAGCCAGGCCACAGCCAGGCAGGCTGGAGATGGCCAGGAGAGACTAAACATCCTCACCCAGCAGCTGCCAGGAGGATAAGGCACACTTATCCTCTTGCCTTGCTCTTGCCTTCCTCCAGCATGCTTACCTACAGTAACAAGTGTACACTTTTCACAAGATTCCCAGAGAGAAAGACAGAGGATAAAGAAAAAGGTAGAGTCAGTAATCCTTCCTTAGGCCTCCCTTTGCTCCCGAGAGAAGTATTTCCAGAATTCATTTTCTGTTGTGGGGGAAGGAGGGCAAGGAAGCAGCTGTTTTAGGAAACATTAGGCACAAAGATGCATTTGAAATGTGACCATGACCTACTCTGTGCTTCTCATTTTGCAGGAAAATGCTTTCATCTGTTGCAGATTCACAGCTTTTAGCTCCTTCCTGAAAGAAGGGGTCTGTGACCCGTCTTTGAAATAGCTAAGCAGGAGCTATTCTTTTCCTTTTAAAACACAGTTGAAAGGGGATGTGATGAAACAGCATTGAATAAAATATGAATCCTTGGAGCAGAACTGAAGCTATCCATCTATCACACAGTGCCCTACCCATGAAGCCATGTCCTACTCTATTCTCTTACTGGCCTAGTGGATCCTGAGTTCATTGCTACATAGCAATCTAAATTCAACAGGATGGCTGATGAGCACTCCCCATGCATATACACCATTGACCATGGACACTCAAACTTGGCAAGAGAATGGGGCATGTGAGTCTCAACTCAGGAAAGAAAGGTGAACTTAATTTTTTTTCCAATTACAGACTATGACGTATAAAGAAAATGGTAGGATTCAACTATATTCCTTCTAAAGGAATCTGACACATCATACTGCATTTTGTCCAGTCTTTCCAGTTCACAAGGCATTTCACTAGCTGGAATCACTTTTGAGATTTAATTACAGGATTATCTAATTAGTGGATCTAGAAAGTGAAGCCCATGAAACTCAAGAATTCACTGTTACTTTAGCTTGGTATCTAGACAAGGGTGAGTAAGTCTGAACTCTGGATAGAGGGAAAATAAAGCTATTGAAGCATAATCAGTTACAGCGACTCTCCAAAAGCCAACAGCAGTCAAAGGACCAACATCCAGATCCTGACATGTAGAAGGAAAAGCGTAAATTCATAGCGTATTTAAGCTCAGAAAAAAAACCCAACCAACCAAAAAACCCTGCCCTGAAATAAGGAAACTACATAATAAAAATGTCACAAGTGGTACAATTTTTTTAGGTTTCCTATTAAATAAGTGTGGTCCACCAAAGCAAGGAACTGAAGTGTGGGTTCACTAGTGAATACATTAGGCAAATTCTTGGTTCAAAATTCCTCTGGGAATAACACTCATTAGGTGCTGTCCCCTACTGTAGATAGTTAAGAAGTATCTTAATAGAGGAAAAAGCTATTGAATATTTCACCTTAATAATACCTACCTGGTGTCTCAAGGTCTACTGAAACAGACAAGAGAATTTTCCATAATAAATTTATCTCTCTGAAAAGGAAGAACTACTACAGATTTTTGGCTGAATTTTTTTCTCACTTGTCTTTTTTGCCATTTCATTCCATACACTCTGGAAGCATTTGCTGCCACAGAGGAAAAATATATTATTTACCAAACCAAAGGTTCATGTAATTTTATGTCCTGTTCTGGGTCATGGTCAATATGAGTTGACTGAACACAGAACAGGATAGACAGAAGAGGTACAAGGAAGTCTGACTAAAATTTTGGAAAAGCAGGATTAATAAGAAAATACTAGCTTAAGCTCAGGATTAATACCTCCTGAAATATAATGATTTATAATAATTTAAATATTCTATCCCATTAATATTTGTCAGGTATTCCAATTTTAGTTCTGGTAATTGGATAATAGTGAACTATTTCAACTCATACATTCCTAAACAATATTTCACTCCTGTACTGCTTTATACTAGTTCACTAATATGAGTTAAACCAATTGAGAAACAGTCTGCTCTCCATCTGCCACCAACAAATGTGATCTAATGCATTAATTAGATCCCCAGCTTTGACAAGTTTTTTTAAATAGTGCTAGAGAACTATCAGCACAATTTTCTCCAGTTAACTTTATTTTGGCTCACAGTCTGGTATAATATTCCAAACCACCGTAACTACTGTCTGCATTTGAAGAGCAAGACGTTCATTAGTTTTCTGTTTTACAGCTGTCTGTCTACTCTGGTTTAACTTTTTAAAGTCAGAAGCAAACCCCTCATACTGCCTCCATTCTTCTTGATTGCTCTGCTCAGATAAATTTCCCCATGACCACCACTCCCTTATGTTTCCTAAACCAGAAATGAAGCACAGATTTGCAACGTAAGCAAATTATACTGGGTCTTTATACTGGTTTGCCCAACAAAGGCAGATACACAAACGGTTTCTGTATCCTGTTCAACATTAGTTAGTGTGTGGGAGAACTGATTTCTTTCCACACTGAATTCCATTCTTCTGGAATTGTGAATAATCAATGGCCTTGATTAGGTATTACGTCAAATAGGTTTTGATGAGATACAGTGGTGGATGGATATTTTACTAGTTCTGCATCTGAGCTCTTCAGCAGAGGCAGCTCATCAGTTTAACTTGCACTTTTCAGCAGAAGGAGCAGGATGAAATGCCATGAGGCTGTACTGCATTGTATGTGAGTTTCCTGACCTAATTCACTTTCATTTTTTCTTCTCCCCTCTCTGTCCAGCAAACTGAATATCAGAGCTGCATAACTCTGTTGAAAACTATAAATGCCTCTTCTATGAAGCACCATGAAAAACCATTGCATCACAAGCTTTACAAAGAGATGCTAAAACCCATCTTTCATTAAAAGGGCATTAGGTGCTAAATGAATCTACAAAGGCATACTCAGAGACACATATATTGCATGTATGGAGAATGAGATTATATACAGTTTGTGTCTGGCAATCTGCTACTTAAATGGAACATTAATGTAATGGAAAGTATCTGCTTTTATCAGCAAGGCTGCCGTTATAAACTGTACAAATTTAATCTCTCAGTTCACAGGAATCGCCTCAGCGCGGCCCTCCCCGGCCCGGAGCGCGGGCTGACAGCGCCGTCTGGCGGCCCGGCCTGCCCGCGCTTCGCCCCCTCAGAGCGCCCTGAGCACCGAGCTGTGCTTATTTTGTGCTGGTTTCGGCCGGGGTACACTAAATCTCCTCCCTAGCGGCTGCAGAGGGCTGTGGTTTGGATTCAGCGTGAGGGTAATGCTAATCACACACTGACGCTTAACGTAAATCAATCTTTTCACAAGCAGCCGGGAGGGAGCACGGCCAGGACAGCTGAGCCGGACCGGCCACTTCACATCATTCCCACTATATAAACCGTGAGTTACCTGGGATGGGGCTGGCTGTGCTTTGGGGTTGGGTTTGGCATCCATCAGCAGGTGGTAAGTAATGATGTTGTGTATTGCTTGTCTTTCCTGGGTTTTATCTCTCTCTTCCCCATCCCCCTCTAATCACTATTTTTAACATTATACATTATATTTTACTTTGTTTCAGTTATTAAAGTTGCGCTGCTTTTTTTCCTAATTCTGCTCATCCAAACAGGTCTGGAGGGAGAAAACTCATCTCATTCCAACACCCTGACAGAGACAGGGACATCTTCCAGCAGACCAGGTTGCTCCAAGCCTCATTCAACCTTACTTGAGCACTTCCAGGGATAGAGCATCCACAGCTCCTCTGGACAACTTGTGCCAGGATTTCATGGCCCTTACGGTAAAAAAATGCACCAATTCTAGTCTGCTCTGGTGCCCAACCAAACCCTAAAATGAACGTCTCATAAGCGGAAGTTTTTAGCATTTGTAATCTCATCCACAAATTTATATTGAAAACACATTTTAGCAGTCACACATAAAGTTGTCAGTTTGTGTCCACTGTAGATAGAATTTTTTTAACAAATTAACAAATAAAAGCACAATTATAGAATATAACTATGTATTTGGAACTTCAGAAATAGTCCCTTCATTAGTTTATATAGGATGATCTCAAGCACCTAAGAAATAATACAGTTAAACAAGTATTTAAGTTACTGGAAGTTACTTTCATTTTGGCAGGACTGCTTTCCCTTTTTATAAAAAGAGCAGAACAAATTTCTCAAAATGTTTAATGTCAGTACTTGCAGTTCTTCTTTCACAACAGCGGGAGAAAAAAATATTTTCTGATACCCAAAAATGACATCTGTGAAAAAAAAAATACAAAACTGTATTGACAAGAACTAAAAGAACATCTAGAATAATTTATTCACAGTAATGGCGTTAATAGACTAAATTTGCATTGTAAAATCTTTTTTTACCCAGTTTATATAATAAAGAAAATTACATTATTGATACTGGTGTTAAATCAGCTTTGCTTAGTAAATCAGACTCATGCTACACTCAGCAGATGGACACATTTCTGCTGCATGGAGGGACTCTATCAGTCAGCCATCTGAGAACATCTTACCAGCACATTCATCCTTGCCACCTGATTTTAATGTAAGAGCATCACTATCACTTAGATTGAAAAGGTTGAGAAAGCAGTCAGGTCGCAGAACACTCTTTCATTATACAGCCTATCTCAGTCCTTGCCACAGATTTGAAACTGGTGCTGCAGGCAGAGAGCAACAGAGTGAATTCAACTAGCAGTCATCTTCCCAGAACAGCATTGGAATATGACTTGAGGAGGCACATAGTAGCATCAGCCAAATTAACATTTTCAACATTATTGACACTACAAGATATATTACCCCCTGTACAATTTAAAGAGATCCCCCTGGGGAAATTTTTAAGGGGTGATTACTTTATTGGTTGCTATTGAGTAGAACCAGCTTGTGGGGAATGTCTGAATAACAAAAGCCCTGATAGAAAGAGACCAAGAGACCCCTGGTGACTGATCCAGATGGCATTGATTTGATTTTAGCATGATACATTTAGTTTCCATTGTGAAAAGAATACAGCAGAATAATTTACAGAATGATAAGACTGAATCTTTTTTTTTTTTTCCCTGAGAAAAACAGAGGGAGGCTAGGACAATGGAGACAGGAAAGACCATAAGTTTAATAAACTGACCGAGACACTAGAGCATTTATAGAGCTCTGTACAGATATCAGCTTCCTTTTATATGCTGATAAACAGAAATTTTAGAAAAGCATAAGTGCATCAAGTTTTACAGGATTACATCATCAGCAGCATTTGTTAATTGCCATAACCCCTAAGTTTCTCATTTAGATGCAGTCAATATTCAAAAGTTGTATTGCTGCTGACAAAATGGCTTTCCCTTTCTGTGGGAATCCTTAAAATCAGAGGGTTTTGGGGAGGAAGGTTCCCTGTGAAGGAAGCATATAAAATCTGAATTGTTGGATCCTAGATTTCACCTGTGGCTTAATGTGAATTGATCATTAATCTCACACCTGTGCTGCATAGTGGGTTTTGGCAAAAATTGATGCCAGGTAAATATTAAAATTATACAAACCAAAGGAAGACTGAAATCTCTTTCTCCAAGCACACAAAAATTCTTCAGCAGGAATAGCATTTGTCTGACTGTTTTTTGACTCGCCCACACTATGCTGTGTACAGCTACTGCAATTATACTTATCCCTCTCTGTATTACATATGCTAATGTAATTTTTGGTAGTGTGTTGTGGTCATCCATAATTTACTCCTGCCATTCTAACAGAAGCCTTTATGCCTGTGGGGCTGAAAAACACAGTTGGTTTTCTAATACACCAGATGAATGCCCAAACCAGTGGATTAGTCACTTTCCTTAATCTTGACTCTAACAAGTCTGTAGAACAAAACATGTTTAACTGCAAGAGATTCCATGGAGTAGGAGATATTCTCAAGCAACAGCTCTAACTCATCATTTCTGCTGATCTGCATTTCTCTGTTGCCAGGTTAGTATCTTCATCATTGCATTACATAATTAACCTCGTGCCAATTCTCTCTTGTTTTGGTCAGAATATAAGCAGTCATTTTTATAGAACAAAAAGGTATCAAGAATAGCAAACTTCTCACTAAAAGAATCAACTTCAAAAGATTAACATTCGCTCTTGAAAATAAAGTTGGGCTCTCAGTTTGAAGGATATGTCTGTTATTTCAGGTCTGAATCCAAAAAAAGTCAGTGACTGTGATGTCTAAATGGTGGATAAAACACACCAAAAAATACTGCTGGGTGTCCCCCAAATGAGAGCTTTGTGCCTCTTTCTATCTGGTCTGTGTCCAGGAGGAGCAATTCAAGGGAGCTCCATGAGGTACTGCTGTGCAACTCCATCCCTTCCACACTGCTGTGTGCTGGGAGAGCCAGAAACAAGGCACCAGTACTTCTTGGGAAGCATTTAACAATGGAGGAAAGGAAGAACACACTTCTTCACGTTAAATCAAATCAAAATACCATGTCCCAGACCCTATCCACAGATGACTGCACCTAGCAAATTGGATGATCATTTTATGGTGTGCTACAGCCACGGGGATCATATGGCAAGAAGTATCTGGCAGCCAAGGAACAGCACCAAAGATGAGCATCACTGAAAGAATGATTGATTGCAAGCAAAGAAGAAAGAAATTACATAGGATAGCATCTTCTTCTGGGGACAGTATTGTTCTTTGTGCTTTTTAAACCCAAGACAAAACCTCTGGAAATGTCAGAAGCTAATTTAAAAGCAATGGAAATTATTTCTAACTTGTCATATCAAACCCTTACAGAAAAGCATCTGTATTCATTGTGTAATGCCTGTAAGAAAAAAAAAAGTCTCAAACTTTTGGATTAAACCCCTGTTCTGTGGTCTGTCTTTCCTGTCCCTTTTCCTTGTTCCAACTACACTTTCAACATCTAAATGTGTATTTTAGACATACATGTCTAACAAGCCCTAGCTATTGAGTGTGCCCATCACATAAAAGAATCACTACCTTGCCAACTCTGGTATTTAAGTCTCATTCAGGCTATGTACTGGAAGATATTTTTATTTAAGCCTCTTGCCATCAGAAGAAAAGCCTTACTTCTTGTCCTGTCAACAACACAGCAGGACAGCTGGAAGGTAGTCTAGAAGCAAAGCTGCTAAAGACCAAGGCTGACAAGACCACATCAAAGCAGTGCCTTTTGAATTCACAAGAGTGAAAAATTACAAGGGAATTAACAGGAGAGAACAGGTTAGGCTTTTATAACTGGATGACATTAAATTGTACATGAGATAGTTCAGGTTTTAGGATAAGAAAGTACAAATGAAGGTAGGAAAGAAGAACTAAGTTAAGGTCAGGTTACTCTGACAGGAGTTAAATACATCACTATTAGGGACTGTAACATTAAGGCAGTTGTGATCCCTTTCCTGTTCATGGTTTCTGCTGGTTATTTTGCATTTTGAAACAGCCAGGGTCCTAGCCAAGTCATTTGTTTGGATTTGGCTCAGATATGTCTACACCCTGCTGAACCACTTCATTCTCTGGCAAAATGATAGCACCTTGAAATGCATCACTGGAAACAATTTGTTGCACAAAGCCAAGCTCACTTGGCCAAGTTCAAAACATGAAATAAAATTGAGGACAGTCTCTGCACATTTTTCATACAACTCACCCCAGACCCTATTTCATGACAGTCCTTGCCTGCTAGATAAGCAACTGCTGAGGAGTATACTGTAGAAACACAGAGTAATATTCCTGTTGTTAATAATTTTATCATTGAGACTTGAATTGATAGAATATCACTGGACTGTTTCAATCAAATTAATTACGAGTATTGACAAGGGGAACTGTCATGGAAGAGTAGTTGAAGACAATGCTTATTCTATCACTGTCTGGGCCTGGTTTTTTATCTGTTTTAAAACCAGCCAGTGTTAGGAATCCACACAGGTAAAATTTCAAATCCAGCTGCTCGCACAGCATGCAGTCATGGTCACTGCACTTGATTCAACACATTAACACAGTGAGGAATATAACTGTGTGCCAAGAGTTTCTTGTGAGAGAACAGCAATAGAAAGAATTACTAAATCCCAAGCTCTACAAACAATGAAAGACACTAACAAGAAAAAAAAAAAATAGTGGAAGAATACAGGAGCTGTGAAATGGGTTTCTCAAAATGTATAAAAAGTGCCCATGAAGCAGCATGGGAGACTGACCATGCTTCAGGAATTAAACTGCATTAAAGTTGCTGCTCTTTGGATGAGGAAGCTCTCTTGTATTATTCAGTAAGATGTACCACAGTAAGACAATAGTAATAATCAATTCTCCACTACCTGATAAGACTGCTAAAAGGATCTGTGTTAAGAAAGATTGATTAAAGCACATGCTGCAACTGCTGTTAACCCTGAAAACATATGCAGTTGCACTGTATTAGAGACTATGAGCCCCAAATTTAGCAGCAAAGCAGGATCTTAAAAGTAAGTTCAGAACAAAGATTATCAGATGTCTACAAAAGGCATTGTAGCAGAATGAGGAAAAAAATATTTTAAACATAAGTTCTGGGGCATGCAGATAGAAAAACAATGATGGATTCACACATCATTAGCATTTATTAAGGGCTGTACTATGGAGATACTAAAACACAGTTGGAAATATTATTTTAAAATAACATTGATGGTCATAATACAAGGTAAAAGAGAAATGCTCTGCCTGTTTCAGCTTTCATTTGAGCACGACAGGAAATGGGTTGGGAGGATATCAATTTTACAAATAGAAACAGAGGAATGAAACTTAAGAATGTCATTACTTTTTGAAAGTACAAAGGAAATGAAGAAAAAAAGGCAAAATTAGGCAGGCCACAGCAAAGTTAGCTGATGATGATGGTGCCTCACTGGCTAATGATTGATAACAGCAGCAATTACTGACAGTTCTAAAAAATGTCATTCCATTTTAGTTCTCAATGTATCAGACTTGGGAAAATTAAATCACATCAGAAGCCACAGACTTATTACTGAAAGGTCAACTTTTATGAAACTTTTCCTTAAAAGTTTTAGTGAAGAGATTAAACAAACCTACTCCATTAACTTCAGTCAGACAAGTTTTAGGGGAACATCAGACAAAAATGGGCTAAGAACTATTGTACTTAGAGACTCTAAGAGACATAAGGCTTTGCCTCAATTTCCAAAGATCACTTGTAACTCAAAATGTAAATGTCCTTGTATATTCATATAATTCAAGACTCGTATCAAAACACACAGATGTGCTTTAAACTGAAAAATGACGTAGCATCATTTGCTTTAATTCATGTAGGAATGGTTCAGGAAAGCCAGTGCTACCCCTCCTATGTAATGTCACACTGACTCCTCTAATGCACTCTTTGGAACAGATGGGGCAGGGGATGAGCGAATTGAGAGCCAGAATCAGCCCACCATACCAGCAAATATTGATACTGTGGCTTCTTCAGCAACCCACAGAAGAGCATGCAGGAAAATATGATCACTGACTCCTTGTGCAACTGACTGGTTTTAAAAACCCAGCCAAAAAGTGCTGTCTGTTTTATACTAGCTCATTTCTTGATCCATGCAGTTTAAAAGTGTGAAGCCCAGACTATGTATCTGAGTAGCTGTATATGATTGTGCTGGAGAACAGGGAGAAAACTGAGGTTTGATCCAAAAAAAAACCAATGAAGACTAGACTTAAAGGCCTAGCTTGGTCAAACAACAAACAGGAGTTCTCGAAAAATAGAGCTACTAACATACTTGCTGTACCACAGTTTGTTTGCTAGATTATACAAACATAATTTTCTCTCCTTTACAATACATTGGGCTATCAACAAGTACCTGTCTGTTCATCTTTTATGTTCAAATATGAGGATAAGCCCAGTAATCTCAAGCATTTGGCAGGTGCACCAATACCAGTTATTTTAGCAGACTGACTTACCTGAAGATATAACTCAAAGGAAACCATCCAAAAGTATAGGATAAGTGATTAATTCAGCAATCAGGAAAAATCTTCAACAATTAACACAGTAAGACTTGAGGATTTCAGAATTTTGGAAATTATCAAATTTGCCTCTTTTCACCTTTGAACTGGTGTGAAACAGTAGAAACAGTAGAAACAGTAGAACTTTTAAAATGAGAGAAACAAAAAATGACAAATGAGACTCTTCCTCATATATTACACAATTGAATGAATATCCAAGAGAGAATAGTTAGAAGGCCCAACTAGTTTGGCTTCTGCTAAACAATACAACTTAAAATTCATGAAAAGAACTGTATTATGGACAGTAGCAATGATCTCAAGAAAAGAGATTTGACTCTTATTAGAGATACATAGCTCCTGTAATGTATTCAGCCAACTGACAGGAAATGAGAATTAAGATTCTGAGAGGCAGCCACTGAAAAAAATGTTCAAATAGCAAATTTGACCTACAGATACTACAGAATTATGTGCTGGCCTCTTTGTGTTACACTTTGGCTTTCCTACCTGAAGTCAGAGGTAAACAGCAAAAAAAGAAATTTTATTGATGGCACTGGTAGGCCTCTTTGAAAGGAGATGAATCACCTTGCATTTTGAGCACTTTTAGGTATTCCCCTGAAATTTTAAATTAACATTTAAATTTAATATTGCATTTGTTTATTTATTGGCTCTATTCTTTTTCACTCCATTCCTCACAGACTCTGCTTTTTTCTGCTTAGAATCTGTACATAAATTATTAGGTTATATTGATTTCATCCTACTATTCATACTTCTGATCTTAAAGTACTGATTTTTAGATAATTTTTTTTTTAATTTGCCACGTTACTTTTTGCTCCATGCTTCCAATTCTGTTTGATGTGGCTGAAGATGCGTGTGTGTTTAATGACTCCTGCTGCTCCTGGAAGCTTATCATGTTTGCAGAGCTCACTCAACTGATCTGTATGCCCAGGCTGAGCTCTGCACAGGATGGACAGGCCAGCTGGAGCAGCCCTGACAACTCTGCCTGAGTGCTGCATGACTCAAACAGGATCTGGGAGAGATTTCAGCTCTGCCTAGGGACTGGGGAAAGGCTGCAAACCATACAGGCACTGTACTTCACGCAGCTGCATGGAGAAATTGCAGAAACAAGAAGGAAACTGAAGGGCTGCAGCATCAAGAGCTTGCATTCCTGTTTTATTAGAATGAGAAACGAGACTTGTATTGAGTAGCACTGGATCAAGGCTGACATCATCCATCATCATATTTAATTTACCTCCTATGCTGCCTTCCAGCACATATCAGCATTTTGACATCCACTGGGATACAGGCCAGCACAGGCCAGGCAACAGCTCTTTAAAGCATGCAGCTGTTTTAGGAGATGATATCAGCCAGTGCACACCCCCACAATGCTGGGAAAACCTTGGGTAAGGTAGGTTATTGCAGAAACACCTTAGTCACCTTCCTTTTTCTCTATAACCACCCAACAGGCTTCCCCAAGACAGGCAGCCCTACACACCTTCATCTTGCTTGCTCTTAGAAATGATATTTTTCTCCTTGTCTCTAATCTCCACAGAAAATTGCACTTTTTTTCCTGACCCATCTATCTTCACTAATTTCTGATTAGAACTGCTACCTGTAAACCTATGACTAGACCACTCCATAAGATAGAGGCCTTTGCAGCTTCATGTCTCTGCTTTTGCATGGGACAAGGAGAAGAGGACTGATGGCAAAAATTGTCAAATTTGGAACCTGCATGAGTTTTTAAAGGATGAAAACCTTCAACCAAGGCATTGGAGCTAAACTGCAGAGTCTACTAAAGAAAATTAGCTGAAAAGAGGTATGTAGCTTGATAATTTGATATCCAGGAAGCCAACATGGAAAGGATGCTTCCTTCTTTTATGTTGTTTATAGGAATGCTATATATGTGCACTGCAATGGATGGAAGCTTTGAAAACCAAATATAGGTCTATCAAATGTACAGAATTTAACAGTCATTTATAACAGCAAATGTGAAATATGTTCTTAAAGCCCATATTATAACTACTGCTATAACTGTTGTCTCATGAAGAATGTTAAAAGCAGCAGAGAAGAACAGGATCACTCAATACTGTCCTTATGAATAGCCAATCACTTGTGCAATTATTTCTATTATTATCACCAAACTGCCAGCTACATAAGTCATGCTTGAATATTGCAGAAAGTAACTTATTAATATACATACTGAGGGTTTTATATTTTTCTAGCAATTTTTACCAAAAAGCTGATCTCTTTATATCATGTAATAAATACACTTTGTAATAAAATATGTCATCAAGGATAGTTTAAAATAGGCATTTATGAGAGATGTACAAGTCATTAAAAGCTGCATACAAGAAATTGTGGTTAAAAAAATTTACTTGTGATGACAGAATTTTGTGTGTATCTCTTATGTAACTGTAGGGGTTTAATTCTCTTGTGCTTTTATGGAATCTTTATTATTCAGTTCTGCTTTACTGTCCAAGGTATTAATTCACACTGATCTAAACTGATTTTGTTAATATTTTTGCTAGAACTACTGAGCTCGCTGCATAATTTCAATGCTCTGGCTTTCACATGTCGGACTCAGTGACTTACTCTATAATCCTCTGTGTTAAAAGATATTGTAATTTGACTTCACTCAAGCTAGTTATCACATTGGGATAATCAACAGACAACAGATAAAAAGCCAAAATGAAGCATTAGTGCCAGCACCCCTAGTGTCACAAGAGAAAAGACTGTCACCAGACTATCACCAGAGGGCACTAAACCCTGAGAAACCAAATTGCCTATAAAAGGACAAGTGAAAATGTTCAGTATTTCACCAGAACGACACAGGAATTTAGTAAGATGATGCAATTTCTTATCTTAACACTGCAATTTAAGAGGCAGAACTGATGGAGTGGCCTTTTCCCTACCCCACCCTATTCGGTGATTTGTTCTGTGAGTGTGCCCACATCACTGCACACCCCATCACAATTAAACACTGAAGTCCACCTACGTTGTCTAGGAGCACTTTAGCAAAATCAATAGAACTATGTCCATGACAACATGATGAGAGAGATGGATCAAGCTTCACACTTTGTTACTGAGCAGATTTTGTACATATTCAACCATCCTCAAGAATCTCTCTACCAGCAACAAAGAGATTCATCCTCTCTACTCCTCAAAACACATCAAAGCAATTTTATCTTGTAGGGTTGGGGGTTTTTGTTTGTTTAGTTTTTGGGGGGTTTTGTTTGTTTGGGGAGTTTGGGTTTTGGTTTGTGTCTGTTTTGTTATGTTTTTGGGGGGGTTGGGTTTTGGGGGGGCTGGTTTGTTTTTGGGGTTTGGTTTTTGAGAGGAGTTGTGGGGTTTTTTCGGAGAGTTGTTTAGTTTTGGGTTTTGGTTTTGGGTTTTTTTGTTGTTGTTGGGGTTTCTTTGAGCGGTGGGGTGGGGGTTTTGGAGGGTGTGATGGTTTCTTTGAACCAATCTCTTTAAGAGGGCTTTGGTGGCAGATGTAAACTGGGCAATCCAGATGAGGGGGTGTAACTGCGAGCTTACAGAACCAAAACGCCCGTCTGCAATTCTGCAATTCCAGCTGACTGAAAAGTGGTGACGTAGAAAAAAACTGCAGTGACTAATGATGAACTTTTCGCATACTTTGTAAAATGTTTACTTCCCTTGAGAGGCGCTGGCACTCTGCCACGTCTTACCACAGCGCTGAATGGCACTCCCTTTCCGTTCCTGGTGGATTTAGCTGTGTGGTAGCAGCACACAGAATCAGCTGGCCCTCGATACACTAATTCACATGCCCTTCAGCCAGCCTTGCTGTGTTTCTGAGCCCCTGACCAGCTCTTTGAGTAGCTGGGATCCCCTGCGTGTGACAGGAGCCAGCAGTGGGATCTCAAACAAGTCAAGAGTTTGTGGGGCAGAGACTGAAACCCTGACAAGCTGCGGCTTCCCTTGGGCTTTCTCTTTCGACAGATTGCATTCTTTCCTTTGCAGTGGCAAGCTCCAAGGCCAGCACAGGGTACCTCATCCATCCCTGCCTCCTGCCTAGCTGGCTGCTCCCTCTCCATACTGCCTGGCTGGTGTGGCAGCCTGGCACCAGGACAGGCTGATCCGCTCACAGCAGCTGTCCTGTGATCTCCCACACTGAGACGTGTTCAAATTTAACAGCTGGTATTGCCTAGGTGGGTTCATTTGCACAGCCTGGGTTTTGGTAGCATGGGGGGAGACAGAGGTGGCTCCTGTGAGCAGGAGATCACAGGAGATCTGCAGAGATCACCCACAGCCCCTGGGGATCCACGGGGATGCAGAGATCACCCACAGCCCCTGGGGATCCAGGGGGATGCAGAGATCTGTGGGGATGCAGAGATCACCCCCAGCCCATGGGGATCCAGGGAATGCAGAGATCCATCCCCAGCCCGTGGGGATCCAGGGAATGCAGAGATCCATCCCCAGCCCGTGGGGATCCAGGGGATGCAGAGATCCACCCCCAGCCCGTGGGGATCCAGGGGATGCAGAGATCACCCCCAGCCCCTGGGATCCATGGGGATGCAGAGATCACCCCCAGCCCCTGGGATCCATGGGGATGCAGAGATCCACCCCCAGCCCCTGGGGATCCATGGGGATGCAGAGATCACCCCCAGCCCCTGGGGATCCGTGGGGATGCAGAGATCCACCCCCAGCCCCTGGGGATCCATGGGGATGCAGAGATCCATGGGGATGCAGAGATCACCCCCAGCCCATGAGGATCCATGGGGATGCAGAGATCACCCCCAGCCCCTGGGGGTCCATGGGGATGCAGAGATCCACCCCCAGCCCCTGGGGATCCATGGGGATGCAGAGATCACCCCCAGCCCCTGGGGATCCGTGGGGATGCAGAGATCCACCCCCAGCCCCTGGGGATCCATGGGGATGCAGAGATCCATGGGGATGCAGAGATCACCCCCAGCCCATGAGGATCCATGGGGATGCAGAGATCACCCCCAGCCCCTGGGGGTCCATGGGGATGCAGAGATCACCCCCAGCCCCTGGGGGTCCATGGGGATGCAGAGATCACCCCCAGCCCCTGGGGATCCATGGGGATGCAGAGGTCCATGGGGATGCAGAGATCCGTGGGGATGCAGAGATCACCCCCAGCCCCTGGGATCCGTGGGGATGCAGAGATCACTCCCAGCCCCTGGGGATCCATGGGGATGCAGAGATCCATGGGGATGCAGAGATCACTCCCAGCCCCTGGAATCTGTGGGGATGCAGAGATCACCCCCAGCCCCTGGGGATCCATGGGGATGCAGAGATCACCCCCAGCCCCTGGGATCCATGGGGATGCAGAGATCACCCCCAGCCCCTGGGATCCATGGGGATACAAGGAATGGCGCGGAGTATGTTTACTACACATAACAATAGCAGCATTTATGGGTGTAATTTTTGGGTTTGCGATAAGTGTTGGTAACAGAGGGCTGTTTCACATTGAAACGCTTGCGCTGCGCTCAGGCGCCTTCTGCTGCCGGGGGTGCACACGCCGCTCGGGACGGGGCACAGGCGGAACCCGAAGCACACATGGCAGAGAGGCTGTTCGCAGGCACACCGCCTGATTTTCGGTTCTGCAGAGCCCGGCCCAGCCCAGCTGAGCCCAGCCCAGCCCAGCCCTGCCCGGCCCGCTCCGCCCCGCGGGCAGTGCGCATGCATGGGCCCGCCCTGAGCACCGCTGCGCTCCGGCCGCTCCCGGCGGCAGCGGAAAGGCGGCGGGGCGGCCACCATGAACCGCCTGGGGAGGAGAGCCAACGAGACCCTCATCGAGATGGCTCTGTCGGCGGACGGTAGGACAGGGCGGGGACGGGGTTGTGGTTCTGTTCCGCCCTTGTGCGCCGCGGAGTGAGGCGGGCGCGGTGTGAGGGTCTGGGGGCTCTAGTTCCCCCCCGGTTCCTCTGCTCAGCCGGCGGCTGTGAGATGGGGCTGAGCTCGGGCGGGTCCTGACCGCTCCCGCATCGAGCCTTTAATCCTTCGGCTTTCACTTGAGAAGGACAAAACCACTTCTCCGTGAGCGCGATCCAGCTGTGATTCGATCTTTATAAAAAGAAGGCTCTCGTACCAGTACCCTGCCAAGAACAAAAGCAGATAGAAAGGTCCCTGTGCCGGGCAGCAAACTTCAGCCGCCCTGGAGAGCAGCTGGGATGGGGCTGATCCCGGGGCTGAGGTGGCCCTTTCGGGGGCTCCGAGCGCCTGGCAAGGTGGTTCTTTTCCCCCCCTTTTCCCCCCCTTTTCCCCCCCTTTTCCCCCCTATTCCCCCCCTTTTCCCCCCCTATTCCTCCCCCTCAGCTCCGGACAGGCCACCGGGTTTGTTGTGCCCAGGCCTTGCTTTTTAGCTGTAGCCATGTTACAGTTTCCAATTCATGTCAGTGCGGTATGTCATTACTTAAAATAAATGTGGTCCTGTTAGGATTTTGTGAAATAACGTGACGCAAGTGTGTGTTTATCAGCATCTCACCTGGCAACGTGAATCAACAGTCTGAAGTAAGAGAGCATGTTGATGTTTTCAGAATGAGACTGTATAGGGTTTTTTTCTTTAAAAAAAAAGGAAAATGCTGACCTATAAAAATTTCCTTTTTTTGGGAATAATGCTTTGTCATCAGTCCTAGAAGTGAAAATCTTAAAGCAGGAAAGAACCACTAAGTCCCTGTGTTGGCTTCTTGGGTTATATGTTCTCCTTTACAACTTGGCTGTGCTGTCTGTTTTAGAAAAACATATATAGAGCCATTTTAAACACCTCGAGCACTGGCGGCAAATCATGATTTTCAAAATCTTTGTCAGTCTTGTTTCAGAGAGGTGTGATGACAGCATGGACTGTGAAGTTAACCAGAAGAAGCGCTTTGTAGTGGCAGCAGGGAGGGGTGTCCAGCCGTGGGGAGGCAGCAAGTGCCAGACAAGCTTTGCCCTCGCTGGGAGGGCCTGGTGGAGCTGGCAGCTCCTCAGGAACCCGGCAGATGGACATGGCAGCCTCCTGGCCAGAGATCCTGCTCCACAGGCGATGTGAGAGACCTGAGTCATTGCCCATCCCACTGCCGGGAAGTGATGGAAAGTGCTGGGACTGAGCTGCTCTCTCCGTGGGTTATTCTTCTGAAGTAGCTTGAAGCTAAAAAATATTTACAGAACACACAAAATACTCCTATTTAGGGAATGATTCGGTGAAGTCAGATTTGTAAACTTCATTCCACATTGTTCAGTTTTCCCATGAGCCTTGTGGGGTTTTTATATTCATAAAGAGCGGCTATAAGGAGATTTGAGGGGTTTCAAGGATGTTTAAGAAGGGTTTGCCATATAGTAGCATGTAACTCTCCATACAAAATCATATTCTAATTCAGTTCAATTTTGTT